GATAAATTTGGTTATTTGCTTCTAGGCGTATTGGTAATGGAAACTAACACCAGATGTTTGCACTGAGAAAGGCACACTCTGTCTTATATTTCATTCATTCAACATATTACACTGGGAATAGTGCGTGTATCTATTGTTGTATTCTTTGATCGAAATGGAATTGCATTACATGCACTTGCAGAATGAGAAAGCGTCGATCACGAACCCCTGTTCCTATTCACCTTTGGATAGACGTGCTCACTATTTAGTTCGTCTGTTTTCATACACAGTCATTGACCTATTGCGATCAGACATCCAAAACGTTTCAACGAGTCGGTAGTGTGGTGATGTGTGTCTTGCTTGACCAGTTAAATAGTTGATAATAGATTTTTGATTATCTGCCAGTGCTCAATTTAGTTCGAATTCAATTTGCGAGTCAAAATAACCCATTATGAGATCTGATATTTCTTATAACTAGCCAAAATTAGAATTTATTACGACGATCTGCGAATCAAATCAAATTATAGGATTTTCCTGCATTGTTATCAAATTTTGTTGAAATGCATAGCAAAATCTTTAATTGAAATAGTAACGTTTTATATACGTTTCATTTCAAGGGAGGCAATTCTCTGCAATTTTATTTGACCACTGGGGCTGCTTATGAATTTCTTTTTAATACAATTTCAGTCGCATGTCAAGGTCAATATCGAATCGTTGTAGTAGATGAGTAGTGGATGATGGCGACCCAAAATAAGTCATCGGATTACTATAAATCGAAGCATAGCATGGAGGAACAATGAGTACCTCTCAATAAATAAGAGAAATTCCCTAAGCCTAATAACAAACCCACCGCAGTCGGATATCATTTCTTCTCTATCTACTATCTCCTCTCCTTCTCTACCATTATCACTGTTCTCACCAACTTCCACAATCTGTCTCTTCTGTTTTACTTCAATACTTCCCTCTCTGCAGTCTCCTCTTTAATTCTTTCTGTCTTCCCTCATCCTACTCTCCATACTTCCCGCTATACCTTCTTTCTTCCATCTACTTCCCTTACCTGCCTCTCCTTTCCTGTGGTTAATGTTCTCCCTCTATACTCCATTGCCAAGTGTCCCAAAATTTCTTAGTTCTAACCCCTTCTTACCCTTGCTATCTTCTTACCGTTCCTCAATATCCTGTTTTCTCTCTTTTCTAGTCCTCTCCTTACTCTCCTGTCAATAGTCTTTCTAGGAAAGATTAGTTGAAAAAGGGAGCAGAGGCTCCGTTAGGAATTGTTGAAGAATTAAAAGCCTTCAAACGCCATCTCCATCGATCTGAGACAAAATAAACTGTATACAAGTTTGCAACATTTTGAATTGCTATAGATTTTTTTATGAAATGCGAATCAGAATCTACATTGATTATCGTAAACTGGTGTGACAAACCACATTTTCAATCTTTTAACCCCTTATCAGGATGACTTACTGGATTGACAACGAAATTGATGAATTTACTTCAATGATTGTTGAAAATGTATTTATGACCAAATGACAAAATATGAAATATGTAAGAAAACATTATTTTGACGGTACCTCAAGGTCAATGGAATTGAAAATGTTTACTTTTCTTTATAGATTGAATTACTGATATTATTCTGTTTACACAAAGTTTTTCCTGTATTTCCCACCCAGCTATTGTTTATTTAGAAAAAAATTTAAAATATTAAATTTCATATTTTAAAAGTTCAGTATTTTAAAAGTGGTAAAAGATCTTTGAATGACGCTCAAGAATAGATTTTGCTTAATTGTATCTTGGTCGGACTTGATCCATCAAGACTGCACAAGTCTGTCGACATATGTAGAGATTCAGCAGGCATCTTTTTATTAAAACCCATAACCAATGTCCGATGCGGTGTACGGCCAAGGATGAACGATACCAAAGAGGACAACAGAAGAACCAACCTAGCGTTGGTCAGAACACGTGCAATCTAAAAAAATTGGAATAAAATAAGGTCTTGTGGGATGGCACAAACTAAAGTTACACATTTCAGCTTTATATCTTACATTTTAGAATGTACCAAATTATGTATTATTTATATCTTCAGATTGTTCCGTACGATTCAGATAATACTGTTCGTATCAGCTCTATATCTTATATTTCAGATTATACCATGCGTATAAGCTTTATATCTTAGATTTCATATTGTACCATACGTATTAGCTATATATCTTCTGGTTCAGATTGTACTATACGTATCAGCTATATATCCGATACTTCTGATTTGACTATGCGTATTAGCTATATCTCTCCTGTTTCAGATTGTACCATACGTATCAGCAACAGGAAAAGTAGAAGCTAAACTTGTAAAGTTTAAAAACAGAGAAGGTAAACAATATGACGGATCGTGTTGTGATGCCGCAGGTTGGGGATGGTTCTTTTCCGCTTCTGATTGTGATTCTAATAAATGTGATCATAAATTTGTTATCTGTCTGGGCAACGTCACAGAGTAAGTATAATTTGGTTATTTTGATAATGTTTAATTTAATTTAATTTAATTTAATTTAATTTAATTTAATTTAATTTAATATTATTTTATTTTATTTAATTTAATTTAATTTAATTTAATTTAATTTAATTTAATTTAATTTGATTTTATTTTATTTTATTTTATTTTATTTAATTTTATTTTATTTTATTTTATTTTATTTTATTTTATTTTATTTTATTTTTTATTTATTTTTCAAAAAGGTCGCCAATTTCTATTTAACAAACATGACTGTATGCGGCAGTTCAGTTTCGATTCCCTGAACGATAGGGATTAATAAGAAGCTTGATTCAATTACTTGCATTGCAGTAGTTCACTTTACCTTAATTTTGACAAATATACATCAGTTAATGGATAGCTGATCTGAATGCTCTATCAGCACAACAATTCAGACACCTGTAATGAATGTTTAGTTAGAAAGGGGGTGGAAAAATTCACCTTTCTTGTAGGTTTAGTATATTAGAACGAATTGGCTCAGTGTATTGTGGTATCTTGAATACAAATTGCTTTATCTTCGGTTCGTGGGCAGGTGATAAGGCAACTGGAATGGTACAACTGGAAAATAATTGATTATGCTCTCACCTAATTGATGCATCAATATATTTTCATTGTAGATCCAGTGATATGGAATCTTGTGAATTTGGTCGTCAAGAAACAGAGCCAATAGAGTCAAATGAGATCATATTTGATGATAGAATCGGAATAACAACGAACCCTTTAAGTTTTGGCTTTAATCAGTGGCCAGTGAGTATAAAAACAGTTCCTGATAACATCATGCCACTACTGTGCTTAATATTAACATCGGCAAATTAAAACATGCTGAAATTTATGATTTAATAGAGAGCAAAATCTCTTAACCAGAATATCGCTGGTCTACTATTAGGTTTGAACCACGATTTAATTGTCGGAAGTAGCAATTGCTGCCATGTAAATATTCGAAAATGCAGTCTTTCGCCTTTCTTTAAAAGAAATAGGCTTTAAATCAGTGGTTCCTAAACTTTTTTCAGCCGTCACACCCATAGAGAAATCATTTACAATCATTTAAACTCCTCATCTCAATGTTTTTTTTTTCAGGGTGTTGTTAAAGTCAAAATTGATGTATTAGATGACGATGTTGGAAAGAGTAGTTTTATTGATCATTTTGAGTATCAATATACTACTAAACAAATGACTAGAGAAATTGATGCTCCAAGTAAAAAACTTGATTTAAGAGGCAGAAATACTAAGTGAGTATGGCATTACATAACGTGCTGCCTTTCACCCATTACCTCTATCTACATTTCAGGTGCTATATAGGCCGTTTTGGTGGTGAAGCATCTTAATGCATTCCATTTCATTTTTCGTTTCCATCTACAATTGTTTCACAGAATATAGTACTATTTTTATAATGGTACTTCTTTATATATTTTAGTTTTGATTAACGGCTCTGGGAATAATCATTTTTTATCGACGTAGATTGTCGATCCCGCCCATCAGCTTCTCTGAACATTCGTATGTACATAATTGTCTTGTGAACACAACCGAGGCTACAATTTTGATCCGATTTCGATGAACGTGTTAGGTTTACCTGATTTGTCGATGAATTTTCTTTTGAGTTATTACCCTTGGATCAGCAAAAATACGTCAAAATTAGCACGTGAATGCGATCGATACTAAGCGTTTGATGCAATTGCGACGACACTTGATATGTACTGTTAGGATATCTTGAACAAGTTTGTTTTTAAGGAACATTTTTACTTATAAATTTCAGTTTCGACATTGTATTAAAAGTTTACTGTGATTTGAATTATTATGGTGAAGATTGTAATGTATTTTGTGAAGCTAAAGATGATAACACTGGTCATTTTATTTGTGAACCAGATACTGGTAATAAACTCTGTATTCAAGGTAAATACGACTACCTTGTTAGGCAATCACCTTTAATTGTAATTTTTAGATAAAAAAAAAATGACTCTTGCTCATCTTCTGCATTTTGTTTCAAATGTGGACGGGATCAAGTCAGATGATCCTACTGGTAACTAGGAAAAAGAAAGTTTCGATCTTTGAAGCAAATTTCTATACATTTTAGATAAGTTTGGTTACTTATTAGCCGCACATGTTATGGCATGACAGAAGAACTATTGTTTCTGTTTTTCAGGATGGTCCGGAGATGATTGTATGACTAATATTGATGACTGTGTTGGTCACAGATGTTTTGGTGGTGCTACATGTAAAGATGGCATCAACTTTTATACATGTTTATGTCCTTCCGGTCGAACAGGTAATAACCAATATCTATCAGTGTTGGTTGTAATGGCGTATTTGAGTAATTTTCGGGCAATGGATGACGAGTAAAGAACATAAACACATACGAGTAATATTTTGTCTTAAGGTGTTGTATGCAAGAATGAAGGATTTCACCCAGAGTAATAAGTAATGCGTACATACGAGTAACAATCTTCTATCTATATTTTGTATAGGTGTTGTATGTGATGGCGAAATCAATGAATGTGCCAGTAATCCATGTACCAATGGTGGAAGATGTGTTGATTCTGATGGAACCTATACATGTGAATGTGAACCTGGATTCACTGGTCCACAATGTGACGTTGATATTGATGAATGTGAAAGCTCTCCCTGTGTAAATTCGGTAAGTTTTGTTGCGATTGTTTCGATAGTTGTTTTCAGATAACGAATTTATACGGAGCTCGTGGTCGATAACTCAAAACTTAAACCATCCTTGAAAAGTCTTAAATTTGTTAAAAGAGATGGAAGAATTTGTATCAAAAGTATTATTGAAATAGTTAAAATCTTTATAAAAAAAATTGAATACATAAACTCCATAAACAGCTTTTTACTTTTCATTTTTTTAAATAAGATTTGTTTATCATATGAAAAATATAATAATGTAAAACAAAGACGAGATCAAATATTTTACTGCACGAGTTCAATAGTGTTATTTTTGATTTTTTATAGTAAATTTTAGATAAAAAAATTATAAATCATGTTATGCCAATGTTGTTTAGTACAGGGTGAATGAAAAAGAAGTGTATTGTACATAATATTGCATAAATCTATATTATAACCCTACTATGCATCTCGTAGTTATTGCTTTTATTTACATATTTATCATTGCTTTAGCTTAATCTTGTTTTTTGCTTCGTATCTTAAAATTGATATAAATAGTAGCTTCAAGTTCTGAGAAATGAACAATGCTTATTATTTTGCTATTCTGCTTGCTTCAATGTACCTATTTTATAACTATTTTTGACTAACTTGAAGTGGTAAGTTTGCACGAGAAATTATTATGTTTAATCCTCCTCAGATTTAAAACAATTCTACTGCAAAACCCAAAAGTTTTTTTAAAGCTTGCCTTAATTTATGTCGACTAAGTAATCTTGTATGTATTCTTTTGAAATGAATGGAGTTTTACATCCTACTTTTCTGCACTGTACGCCATGCCGGGTGCAATGAAGGAAATTTTGCCAGGACAGCGGCTTCAGTCTGCTGCTTTTCGATTTCGAACTGTCGAGGGATCTTTTACTTGCACAGCCTGTAGCACACGGGGCCTCGCTTAATTGTCCCATCTGAACCACTAGACGCTTTTTCCACGTCAGCACCTCTTACCTGCATCACTGATAGGACATAGGGAAACCAGGTTGAAAAAATCCGAACGTATCATCTCGACCTATGTCGGGATTGTGTTTGCTTTTGAATAGAAATATTAATGCGAAAAGTTACTGAGGAAATCAATAAAATCTTTTGATTATCTAATACCATGAACAAACATATAATAAGGTAATTTAAGTAGAATCAAAGATGTCTCTTTTTTGCAGGGCACATGTATTAGTGGTAAAAATGGCTACACATGTAATTGTAGTCCAGGTTATACGGGTAATAGATGTGAATTTGATATAAATGAATGTGCAAGTCTACCGTGTGTACATGCGACTGGCTGTAAAGATCTAGTAAATGACTATATTTGTTACTGTTCACCAGGATATGCTGGTAAGATCATCTTCATACACATAATAGCAGTGACTCAACTACCAAAGGGACTGGTTGAACCAAGTTCACGGACCTCCGGCCCTAAGGGTATCTCCACCCCCATAAAAAATACAAGATGGCATATATGTTACAAATTTCCCGGGGGAGGAGCCCCAACCCACTTAAGTCCACGGACCCCCACTCATCTAGTCAATGACATATAGAGGCGTAAGAGCTGGAAAGTGTTTTCAGGTTTAGACGACATCCATGAATATCTAAGCCATTCAAAAATGATCTCACTTGTGTGGATTCTGAAAATTTTGAAAAGACCTCACAGCATACCAACAGAATACGCTCCATATTTAAGCCATTTGGGTCTGATGATATGTTCATAAATTCATTAGTGACTTTTTTTTCTTTTTAGGTAAAAATTGCGAACTTGAAGCATTTGCCTGTGCCAGTACACCATGTAAAAATAACGCTTATTGTCAAGATATTGGTGATAGCTATAAATGTCATTGTCCAGATGGTACAAGTGGTAAAAACTGTGAAAATGATTTTGATGATTGCCAAGCGAACCCTTGTCAGAACGCTGGAACATGCGTAGATGAAGTTGGTGGTTATACTTGTATCTGTATACGGGGATATACCGGGGATCAATGTGAGTCACCGCTCAATCAATGTGGTAATAATCCATGTAGCAATAAAGGAGTATGTATCGATCTCTTGAATAGGTTCCGCTGTAGTTGTCCAAATGGATTCGCTGGTAGAATCTGCGAAATTAATATAGACGAGTGTAAATCGAATCCGTGTCAAAATGGTGGATTGTGTGTAGATTTAATCGATGATTTCCTGTGCAGTTGCCCTGAAGGGTTTTCCGGGATTACATGTAATGAGCAAGAACAAATACCTTCAGTGTCCCAATGTGACAAATCCACTTGCCTAAATGGAGGAACTTGTATTGATCTTGGAGATGATTATGATTGTGACTGTCTAGATGGATTCGATGGTAAAACGTGTGCTATTGTTGTTGGAAATTGTGAAAGTTCGCCATGTTTAAACGGAGCCACATGTACTGATGATGTTGATGATTTTGGAGTTTTTACTTGCCAATGCGTTTCAAGTTGGACGGGAAGTTTATGTGACACACCTTTAGACATTACAACACAACCTGCATTACCTTGTGATAGCCATCCCTGTGAAAATGGAGGGCGCTGTATTCCCGCTGGGTATAAGGATTACATTTGTATTTGTGCTGATGGGTTCGAAGGAAGTGTCTGTCATATAGCATTGATATCTGCTATTGCTCAGGATTCAACCATCCATACTACAGATTCAAGCACCAATCCTACGACCCTGACTAAAGAATCGATAACCACCCCTTCATTGACCACGATTGAAAAAATAACCACCAGTTCAAGTACTAAAATAGATGATCTAAGTTCTACTACAGCAGTTATGTCAACATTTTGCGCATCCAAGCCTTGTTTGCGTGGTAAATGTCAAGAGAGTACCCAAAGTTTTAAGTGTACTTGTGATCCAGGATTTGCTGGCAAATACTGTGAAATAAATGTAGATGAATGTGCAAGTGAACCGTGTTTAAATCAAGGTACATGTATTGATGGAGATGATAAATTTGTATGTGTCTGTATTGCGGAATGGACAGGGAAACGTTGTGAAACGTCAGTAGCTACTACTGATGCCGTTTCAACTCTAGAGATGGTAGATGTTACTACAGAAGAAGAAACGGCCCTGACTAAAGAATCGATAACTTCCACTTCATTGACCACGATTGAAAACTTAACCACCAGTTCAAGTACCACAATAGATGATCTAAGTACAAGTTCTACTACAGCAGTTATGTCAACATTTTGCGCATCCCAACCTTGTTTGCGTGGTAAATGTCAGGAGAGTACGCAAAGTTTTAAGTGTACTTGTGATCCAGGATTTGCTGGCAAATACTGTGAAATAAATGTAGATGAATGTGCAAGTGAACCGTGTTTAAATCAAGGTACATGTATTGATGGAGATGATAAATTTGTATGTGTCTGTATTGCGGAATGGACAGGGAAACGCTGTGAAACGTCAGTAGCTACTACTGATGCCGTTTCAACACTGAAGATGGTAGAAGTTACTACAGAGGAAGCAACGGATAGTGACATGTTAAGCACAACATCAATAGCCATATCTAGCACTGAACAGCAAACTATTACAGATCCGTCTGCTTCAAACACCATACCTATTTCTTCAACCGAAATTACAGTACAACGTGATTCTTCTACGATGGATTCTTCTACGGTGTCAAACCAAGACAGTTACTCATATACTTCAGACACTTTATCTTTATCCACTGTATCGAAGCAGGGAACTGCCTCCTCCCAAACGATAACCCTTCTATCGGTAACACCTGAAGTAAGTGACCAACCCACGGTGTCTGTTTCTTCTTGGGTTACATCTGATAACACAGTTACGGATATCCACACAACCACTATGAGCACAGGAGCAACATTAGAAAGTGATGAACCTACAACAGATTCGACACTTTTACCGAGTGAAAAAGACTCGGACACATCTTCCACCACTCAATCTTTTACTATTGATATAGATCCAAACAAACAATTACCTTCAGAGGAGGCAAAATTTGATACCTCTGATAGCAGCTCAACAACAGGCATCCACGAATCCGTTACTGATGCATCCACAAAAGTATTATCAGAAAGTGACCAATCTACCAGAGACACTACTACCCGATCGTACACTGTTCTATTAGATCTAGACGAAAAACTAAATACACGGGAACTTTCAACCTCCATAGAAATTGCAACCTCTGATAGCACAGAAACAGAGCCATCTACTGATATAACAACGCAAATGGTTTCTGGATCCAAAACTAATACTGTGGATAGTGTAACTATACAGAATTACTCAACTGACGTTACATCACCATCAACTGATTCGAAATCTGTCACCAGCTCAATATTTCATACAAAAGACGTATCCACTACAGGGATAGCGTCTTCAGGATCAACGTCTGATACAATTGCAAGTACCTCGACAGATGTCAAAATGGATATTACAGGTTCGACACAAGGTGAGACAACTGTATCATCAAGCACATCTTCTCTACCTAGACAAGACACAACTTTTGACATCACCTCTCCAAAGACTGTTTTACCTGACACCTCTTCAAATGACACTTTTGTATCATACACTATTGCACCTAACGTTGGAACACAAGACACTGCACAAGAAACCACCAAAATAATCAATGCCGCACCAGACACAAGTATAACTCACAGTACTGTACTAAATGACACGACATCAATAACCTCTGAATCAAACACTAATATCCTTGACGACACTTCTAGGAAGAGCATGACGACATTAGAGACTGCAGTTAACTACACCGATCAAAACAATTATTCTTCATCCTATAGTACAACGCTAGGCAGTATTACACCCATTACATTCCCATTAGAAACTCAATCAGAAGAATCTGATTCAAAATACACTTCTGAAACAAATAGTGCTGCACAAACTGTATCAGATTTTACAACTAAAGACAATGCTAAAGCAGAAGCTTCAGAAGCCCCAACTTTACACCCTACTTCATATTTGAACAAAAACGCCTATACCACACTTATACCCATTATAAACACCTCTTTTACTGAAAGTAGTACTTCAGGTTTGGAGGCAAAGGACTCAGCCGTTGTTGATGCTTCTACAACAGAAAAAAGTGACCATACAACGGCCTCACACATTCCCACAACAGATACCGAATTCATGGAAAATACTTCAGTACATACAACTATGATAGACACCACGAATATGATAGAAACTACATTAGCTACATCATCAGAAATTGCAACAGGCGATAAAACTACCAGATACATTAAAGACACTTATCTCACGACTTCACCATCAACAAAAGCTCTCTCGCCATCTACAACTGACAAGTATCCTACTATGTTAAGTACAGCACGCACAACGTTGTTCTCAAGAGTCCCAATCACATCCTGTGTGCCAAACCCGTGTATGAATGGAGCACGATGTCTCTATAGTCCCAGAAGAGGGTTTGTGTGTAAATGTGCAAGGGGATTTTCAGGAAAGTATTGTGAATTAGGTGAACGATTCACATCTAAAGAAACAGATAAATTCGATATCAAAACTGATACATTTGAATCAACTACAATATCTGATATCACATTTGATACATTTGAATCTACAATAAGAGATATAACGTCTGATATATCCGAAAGAACAAAAATTACTGATATAACAACTGATACATCTGAATCTACTACAACATCCGAATTAAGAACAAATACAACTGAAAAGTCTACAATATTTGATACCACATCTGATATAACCGCAACAACTACAATACCAGATATAACAAATGATACATCAGAATCATTCACAATATCTGATGAAACAACTGATTCATCTGAAACAACTACAATATCTGATACAACAACTGATACATCTGAAACAACTACAATATCTGACATAACAACATCTGATACATCTAAATCCACTTCAATACCTGATGTTACATCTGATATATCCGAAACAACTACAAACCCAGATGAAACAACTGGTACACGTGGATTTACTATGATATCTGATAATAGAGCTGGTACATCTAAAACGATTACAATATCTAATATAACATCTGATACATCAGAAACTACTTCACTACCTGATATTATATCTGATATATCCGACACAACTAAAATTCCAGATAAAACAACCGATACATCTAAATCTATATCAATATCCGATATAACATCTTATTCATCAAAATCTACTGCAGTATCTGACATTAGAACTGGTATTCCTGAAACGACTACACTATCAGGGATGACGTCTGATACACTCACAATATCTGATAAAACAACTGATACAGCTGAAACGACTACAATGTCTGACATAACAACATCTGATACATCTAAATCTACTACAGTATCCGATATAAGACTAAATACAACGGAAACGTCTACAATATCTGATATGATAACATCTGATACATCTAAATCTACTACAGTATCCGATATAAGACCAAATACAACGGAAACGTCTACAATATCTGACATAACAACATCTGATACATCTAAATCTACTACAGTGTCCAATATAAGACCAAATACAACGGAAACGTCTACAATATCTGATATAATAACATCTGATACATTTAAATCTACAACAGGATCTGACATTAGAACTGATACATCTAAAACGACTACATTATCTGAAATATCTGAAACAACTGTAATTCCACATATACCAACTGATACGTCTGAATCTACCACAAAATCTGATATACAAACTGATACACCTGAAACAACTCCTATATCTAAATCGACTAAGCTAAGAGATATAACATCTGATATATCGGAAATAACTAAAACTCCTGATATAACAACTGATACATCTGAATCTACTACAATATTCGATAAAACAACTGATACATCTAAAACTACTTCAATATCTGATAAAACAACTGATATATCTGAAACTACTACAATATCTGATACAAGTACTGATACATCTGAAATGATTACAATATCTGATACAACGACTGATACATCTGAAACGACTACAATATTTGATAAAACAACTGATATATCTGAAACTACTACAATATCTAGTAAAACTACTGATTTATCTGAAATGACTACAATATCTGATACAACAACTGATACATCTGAAACTACTACAATATCTGATACAAGTACTGATATATCTGGAACTACTACAATATCTGATACAACTACTGATACATTTGAAACGACTACAATATCTGATAAAACAACTGATATATCTGAAACTACTACAACATCTGTTACAACAACATATATATTTGAAACAACTACAATATCCGATACAACAACTGATACATCTGAAACTACTACAATATCTGATAAAACTACTGATTCATCTGAAACAACTACAATATCCGATACAACAACTGATACATCTGAAACGACTACAATATCTGATACAACAACTGATACATCTAAAACAACTACAATATCTGACACTACAACTGTAACATCTAAAACAACTACAATATCTGATACAAAATCTGATACATCTAAATCTACTACTATATCTGATATTACATCTGATATATCCGGCACAACTAAAATTCCAGATAAAACAACTGATGCACATGAATCTACTACAATATCTGATACAACAACCGATACATTTGAAACGATTTCACTAAGAGATATAACGTCCGATATATCCGACACAACTAAAACTCCTGATTTAACAACTGATACATCTGAATCTACTACAAAAACTGGTAAAATAACTGATACATCTAAAACAACTACACTATCTGATATAACACCTGATACATCTGAAACAACTAAAATATCTGATACAACAACGGACACATCTGAAACGATTTCACTAAGAGATATAACGTCCTATATATCCGACACAACTAAAACTCCTTATTTAACAACTGATACCTTCGAATCGACTTCAATCTCAGATAAAACAACTGATACATCTAAAACGACTTTAATATCTGATACGACATCTGATACATCTAAATCGACTACACTAAGAGATACGACGTCTGATAAATTCGAAACGACTAAAATAACAACTGATACATCGGAATCTACTAAAATATCCGAAATAAGAACAAATAGATTTGATATCACATCTGATATATCCGCAACAACTACAATACCAGATATAGCAACTGATACATCTGAAATGACTACACTATCTGATAGAACGACAATTGCTACATTAAAATCCACTTCAGTACATGCTGTTACATCTGATATATCTGAAACAAACCCAAATAAAACAACTGGTACATATGGATTTACTATGATATCTGATAATAGAGCTGGTACATCTAAAACGATTACAATATCTAATATAACATCTGATACATCAGAAACTACTTCACTACCTGATATTATATCTGATATATCCTACACAACTAAAATTCCAGATAAAACAACCGATACATCTAAATCTATATCAATATCCGATATAACATCTGATACATCTAAATCTACTACAGTATCTGACATTAGAACTGGTATTCCTGAAACGACTACACTATCAGGGATGACGTCTGAAAAATCTGAAACTGTAAATCCACATATAACAACTGATACATTTGATTCTACTACAAAATTTGGTATATCCACTACAATATCTGATATGCCATCTGATACATTTGAATCTACTGCAATATCTGATGAAATAACTGATGCATCTGAAATGACTACAATATCTGATACAAGGATTGATACATCGAAATCTACTACACTTAGAGATATAACTTATGATAAAACCCAAACGACAAAAATTCCTAATATTAGAACTGATTCATCTGAATCTACTACAAAATTCGATATAAGAACTGATGCGTTTGAAACGATCACACTATCTGATGTAAAAGCTGATACATCTGAAACGGCTACTTTGTATGATATAACATCTGATACATCTGAAATTACTACAATGATTGATATCAGATCTTATACACTTGAATCCACAATATATAAAACAACTGATATGACAGAAACAATCACAGTATCTGCAGCATCTTCTGATATAGCTGAATTGACTACAATATCTGAAAAAACAAATGATACAGCTGAAATGACAACAATATCTGGCATTTCACCTGACTCATCTAAGATTCCATTATTATCTAATATAACAACTGATCGATCGAAAACATCTACAACATCTGATAAAACAATTGATACTTCTGAAATGACTACAACAATTGATATCAGATCTGATACATCTGAACCTACAATACCCGATAAAACAACTGATACATCTGAAACGACTTCATTATCTGATACAACAACTGATACATCTGAAACAACTACAATATCTGGTATAACAACTGATACAACTGAAACTACTACAATATCTAACAAAACAGCTGATACATCTGAACCTACTACAATATCTGATACAACAATTGATACATCTGGAACTACTACAATATCTGATGTATCGTTTGATACAGCTGAAATGACTACAGTATCTGACATTACACATGCATCATCTGATAGAACTACTGATACATCTGAAACGACTACAATATCTGATACAACTACTGATACATCTGAAACGACTACACTATCTGATACAACTACTAATAAATCTGAAACGGCTACAATATTTGATAAAACTACTGATATATCTGAAACTACTACAATATCTGATAAAACTACTGATTCATCTGAAACTACTACAATATCTGATACAACAACTGATACATCTGAAACAACTACAATATCTGGTACAACAACTGATACAAGTACTGATACATCTGAGATGACTACAATATCTGATACAACTACTGATACATCTGAAACGACTACAATATCTGATACAACTACTGATACATCTGAAACTACCACAATATCTGATACAACAACTGATACATCTAAAACTACTACAATATCTGATAAAACAACTGATACATCTGAAACTACTACAATATATGATACAACAACTGATATATCTGAAACTACTACAATATCTGATAAAACTACTGATTCATCTGAAACTACTACAATATCTGATACAACAACTGATACATCTGAAACAACTACAATATCTGGTACAACAACTGATACAAGTACTGATACATCTGAAATGACTACAATATCTGATACAACTACTGATACATCTGAGACGACTACAATATCTAACAAAACAACTGATACATCTGAAACTACTACAATATCTGATAAAACAACTGATATATCTGAAACTACTACAATATCTGATAAAACAACTGACATATATGAAACTACTACAATATCTGATAAAACAACTGATATATCTGAAACTACTACAATATCTGATACAAGTACTGATACATCTGAAATGACTACAATATCTGATACAACTACTGATACATCTGAAACTACTGCAATATCTAATACAACAACTGATACATCTGAAACAACTACAATATCTGGTACAACAACTGATACAAGTACTGATACATCTGAAACTACTACAATACCTAATAAAACTACTGATTCATCTGAAATGACTACAATATCTGATACAAAAATTGATACATCTGAAACGACTACAATATCTGATACAACAATTGATACATCTGAAACTACTACAATATCTGATAAAACAACTGATATATCTGAAACTACTACAATATCTGATACAAGGACTGATACATCTGAAATGACTACGATATCTGACACAACTACTGATACATCTGAAACTACTACAATATCTGATACAACTACTGATACATTTGAAACGACTACAATATCTGATAAAACAATTCATTCGTTTGAAATGACCACACTACCAGATGTAAGAGCTAATACATATAAAACGATTACTTTATATGATATAACATCTGATACAACGGAAACTCATATCACAACTGATACATCTACAACAAAATCCGATTTAACATCTGATACATCCGTATCTACTACAATATCTGATATTAGAGATTCGACTAAAACAACCACACAACCTGATATAGCATCTGATATACCCCAAATAACTACAATTCCGCATAAAACGACTGATACATCTGAATCTACTACAGTATCAGATATTAGAACTGAAACATATGAAACGACTACACCATCGAATATGAGGTCTGAAATATCCGAAACAACTATAATTCCACATATTAAAACTGATACATCTGAATCTATGTCTGAAACGACTTCAATATCTAATACAACAACTGATATTACGACTACACTAAGAGATAGAACGTCTAATATATCTGAAACAACTAAAACTCCTAATATTAAAAGAACTGATATATTTGTATCTGCTACAACTACAATATCTGGTACAACAACTGATACAAGTACTGATACATCTGAAAGGACTACAATATCTGACACAACAGCTAATACATCTGTAACGACTACAATATCCGATACAACAGCTGATACATCTGAATCGACTACAATACCTGATATAACATTTGATGCATCTGAAACGACTACAATATCTGATACAACAACTGATACATCTGAAACAACTACAATATCTGAAACAACAACTGCTACATCTGAAACGACTAAAATATCTGATACAACAACTGATACATCTGAAACGATTTCAGTAAGAGATATAACGTCCGATATATCCGACACAACTAAAACTCTTGATTTAACAACTGATACATCTGAATCTACTAAAATATCTGATATCACATCTGATGCATTCGAATCTGATACATCTAAAACGACTACAATAAGAGATATAACGTCTGATATATCTGAAAGAACCAAAATTACTGATATAAAAACTGATACATCTGAATCTACTACAATATCCGAAATAAGAACAACTATAATTCCGCATATAACAACTGATACATCTAAAACTGCTACTGTATCTGATATCAAAACTGATACATCTACACTATCGGATATGACGTCTGAAATATTGGAAACAACTATAATTCCACATATAACAATTAATACATCTGAATCTACTACAAAAACTGGTAAAATAACTGATACATCTAAAACCACTAAACTATCTGATATAACACCTGATACATCTGAATCGACTACAATATCTGATACAACAACTGATACATCTGAAACAACGACTTCACTAAGAGATATATCCGAAACAACTAAAAATCCTGATCTAACAACTGATACATCTAAATCTACTAAAATATCCGATAACACATCTGATGCATTCGAATCTACTGCAATATCCGATAAAACAACTATTTCAATATCTGATACGACTAAAACGACTACAATAAGAGATATAACGTCTGATAAATTCGAAAAGACTCAAATTACTGATATAACAACTGATACATCTGAATCTACTACAACATCCGAAATAAGAACAAATACAACTGAAACGTCAACAATATTTGATACCACATCTGATATATCCACAACATCTACAATATCAGATATAACATCTGATACATCAGAATCATTCACAATATCTCATAAAACAACTGATACAGCTGAAATGACTACACTATCTAAATCTATATCAATATCCGATATAACATCTGATACATCTAAATCTACTACAGTATCTGATATTAGAACTGGTATTCCTGAAACGACTACACTATCGGATATGACGTCTGAAAAATCTGAAACAGTAAATCCACATATAACAACTGATACATCTGATTCTACTACAAAATTCGATATAAGAACTGATGCGTTTGAAACGATCACACTATCTGATGTAAAAGCTGATACATCTGAAACAGCTACTTTATATGACATAGCATCTGACACATCTGAAATTACTACAATGATTGATATCAGATCTTATACACATGAATCCACAATATATAAAACAACTGATATGACAGAAACGATCACAGTATCTGCAGCATCTTCTGATATAGCTGAATTGACTACAATATCTGAAAAAACAACTGATTCAGCTGAAATGACAACAATATCTGGCATTTTACCTGACTCATCTAAGATACCATTATTATCTAATATAACAACTGATAGATCGAAAACATCTACAACATCTGATAAAACAATTGATACATCTGAAATGACTACAACACTTGATATCAGATCTGATACATCTGAACCTACAATACCCGATAAAACAACTGATACATCTGAAATGACTGCAACAATTGATGTATCGTCTGATACAACTGAAATGACTACAGTATCTGACATTACACCTACCTTATTTGAAACTCCTTTAATGTCTAATATAATTGAAAGATCGAAAACGACTACAATACAAGATTTAACAACTGATTCATCTGAATCATTTACATTAACTGATACAACAACTGATACATCTGAAACGACTACACTATCGGATATGACGTCTGAAATATCCGGAACAACTATAATTCCGCATATAACAACTGATACATCTAAAACTGCTTCTGTATCTGATATCAAAACTGATACATCTACACTATCGGATATGACGTCTGAAATATTGGAAACAACTATAATTCCACATATAACAATTAATACATCTGAATCTACTACAAAAACTGGTAAAATAACTGATACATCTAAAACCACTAAACTATCTGATATAACACCTGATACATCTGAATCGACTACAATATCTGATACAACAACTGATACATCTGAAACGACTTCACAAAAAGATATATCCGAAACAACTAAAAATCCTGATCTAACAACTGATACATCTGAATCTACTAAAATATCCGATATCGCATCTGATGCATTCGCATCTACTGCAATAACCGATAAAACAACTATTTCAATATCTGATACGACTAAAACGACTACAATAAGAGATATAACGTCTGATAAATTCGAAAAGACTCAAATTACTGATATAACAACTGATACATCTGAATCTACTACAACATCCGAATTAAGAACAAATACAACTGAAACGTCAACAATATTTGATATCACATCTGATATATCCGCAACATCTACAATACCAGATATAACATCTGATACATCAGAATCATTCACAATTTCTAATAAAACAACTGATACATCTGAAACGACTACTCTATCCGATAGAACACCAACTGATACATTTAAATCCACTTCAGTACCTGATATTACATCTGATATATCCGACAGAACTAAAATTCCAGATATAACTGATACATTTGAATCTACTACAAATTCTGGTTTAATCAGTGATGCATCTAAAACTACTGCATTATCTTATATAACATCTGATACATCCGAAACGACTATGATAAGAGATATAACGTCTGATAAAAACGAAACGACTACAACTTCAGATATAACATCTGATACATCTGAATCAACTACAAAATCCGTTATAAGAAACAATACAACTGAAACGACATTAATATCTGATATAACATCTCATGCACCTGAATCTACTACAATATCTAATATTAAAACTGGTACACCTGAAACCGATACTCCATCGGATATAACATATGCTATGTCAGAAACAACTACAATTCAAAGTATAACAACTGATACACCTGAATATACTACAAACTCTGATGTAAGAACTGAATCATCTGAAGCGATTACTTTATTTGATATAATATATTTATCGTCTGAGACGACCACATTGTCTGATGTAACAACTGACACATCTGAAACGATTTCATTGTCTGATATAAGAACTGATACATCTGAATTGACTCCAATAATTACATCTGATACATTTGAATCTACTTCAACACCCGATAAAACAATTGAAAAGACCAGAGTATCTAATATAACTTCTGATACATCTAAAAGTACTACAATATCTGAAAAAACAACTGATACAGCTGAAATGACTACAGTATCTGATTTGACACCTGACTCATCTGAACTTACTACAATATCTGTTTCACGTCAAACGGCTACACAACGGGATATAACATCTGATATATCAATTCAAGATGAAACCACTGATATTTCTGAATCATTTACAATATATGATAAAACAATTGATACAATTGAATCAACTACAATATCTGATAAAAGAACTGATATGACTACGATATCCGAAATAACAAGTGATACATCTGACAAGACGTCAATATCTGATATAACAACTGATACATTTGGAACGCCTGCTATTGCACTTGACTCCTCTGAAGTAGCTTCAAACTTTGATATAACAACTGAAACGACCACAATATCTAAAACAACAGGTACGTCTGATACATCTGATACATCTGAAACTACTACAAAAACTGATAAAATACTTGATACAACTATAATATCTGACATTACACCCTCTGAAACAACTACATTATCTGAAAAAACATCTGGTGCATCTGAAACAAATACAATATCTGATACAACTAAAATTTCTGATACAACATCGGTAATATCTAAAACTACTACAGCGCCTAGTATAACAACTAAACTTCAAGATAAAACAACAGATACGACTACAATTTTTGATAAAACACCTGATACATCTAAAACGACTACAATATCTGATTTATCACCCGATAGATCTAAAACGACTACCTTATCTGACATAACATATGATATCCCCGAAACTACTAAAATTTCAAGTATAAGAGCTGATTCATCTGAATCTAACACAGTTGCTGATAAAACAGCTGATACATTTGAAACGACTACAATACCAGATATTACATTTGATTTGACTGATGCAATTGAAAGAACTGCACTATCGGATATAACAATTGAGACGTTTGAAACGACTACATTATCTAATATTACACCCGACTCCTCTGAACCGACTGCATTATCTCATAAAAGAACTGATGCAACTGAAGCGACTACAATGTCTGATTTATTAGATAC